GTGTGCATTTTATATGGGACACCATGTATAAAAAAAATCTTGACACTTTCCAAATTTTTAAAAATGCAGATTTAATCGAATTGACCAAAGAATACCTACAAGGCAAACTAAAAAAAATATATCGAGTTTCTAAGTTAGTTTAACGTTTCCAATTAAGGAAATATCTGAATTATTAAATTTGAAAATGTGTGCTTGTGAAATCTTTTAAGTACTCCTAACATCTGTGGCGGTGATTTAATTGAACATTCTGATCTAGTCACAGGTAATTACAGTGCGGCATAAAATACTAATTAAATAGGTGTGTATTAACAAAAGCGACAGAAATCCGGTTTAGGTCTGGCTTTTAATAATTGATTCACTCCTGAAATGTTTATGAAATTAAGTTTTTCTCACAGTATTACAATTATTGAATTTTCCGGTGAACTAAACTAGTAAGATTTTATTTATTCACGCGTGTTGTAAAACTTAGCTTTTGTTAATACCGGGTGCGTCTTAAAAGTGGCTCACCCCCTATAACTTTTTTATTTTTTCAGATAAAAAACGAGATTTGGTATTTGGTATATATATGACATAAATTAGGATTGATTGGTGTATTCAATTGTTTTTGATCACTTCCTGTTTCACCGGAAATGACTACAACTTTTGATTTTTAAATTGCACCCTCGTATTTTTTTTACTTTATTCGATAGAAAATGACATTCTGAATAGAATGACATATCATATGTCAACTTTCTCGCTTAATAAAAAATTGTATTTAAAATTCAATCTAGAGTGCCATGGCTATGTTAAAAACACTAATTCTTCATCAAGGAGCCTTGGAAAAATAGATTTGATCGTCTAAAGTTTTTAGTGTCTTGTCCTGGCCAGTTAGAAGATGCTCAAATCGTATTTTTAATCATATCTCAATTTTTTCAAATGGAACGAGGGTGGCTCATTAGCATATTTGGAAAAAGCATTTTTTACGAATAATGTGATACCACACACTTGGTATTTCGAAATTTTCGTTACGAACCGCAAGTTATAATTTCAAATAAACCATATGCCAAAATGTCAAAAGTTGACATATGATATGTTATTCTACTCAGAGTAACATTTTCTATCGAATAAAGTAAAAAATACCGGGGGTGTCATTTAAAAATCAAAAGTTGTAGTCATTTCCGGTGAAACCAGAAGTGACCGAAAACAATTGAATACGTCAATCAATCCTAATTTATGTCATAGACTAACATATCAAATCTCGTTTTTTTAACTAAAAAAAAAAGTTATAGGGATGAGCCACTTTTGAGACTCACCCGGTATAATATAATAGTCTAAGAGCTAGCAACGTTTTGGAGAAAGTATTTTAAGACGTCTGGCTCTTTGATATATCTTTACTATGCTCTCTGGAACAGCATGCGACCCGTTGCGTTCACTACTGCGCATCGGAAGAATGTCCTATATTTTTATTAATTTAGTCCTATAAATTCTAGTATTGAGTATTGAATATAAATCGAACATGTCCATAGCGCAGTGCGTAGAGTTTCCGACCACGAACTGATGATTCAGAGCTTGAATCGGGTCAGGGCAAAAGACTTTTTTATTTTATTTTCCTTTATATTCTGATACTAAAGTATTAAATAATTCTGGCAATTAAAAAAAAACAAATATTTAATACTTTACTATCAGAATATAAACGAAAATAAAATAAAAAAGTCTTTGCCCTGACCCGGATTCGAACTCTGAATCATCGGTTCGTGTTCGGAAACTACGCACTGCGCTGTGGAGACATGTTCGATTTATATTCAATACTAGAATTTAAAGGACTAATAAAAATATAGGATGTTCTTTCAATGCGCAGTAGGGAACGCAACGTTTACCGGCAGCCAGACGGGCCGCATGCTATTCTAGAGAGCATAGTAAAAGATATATCAAAGAGCCAGACGTCGTAAAATACTTGTTTTTCCGACGTTGCTAGCTCTCGTACTATAATACATGCTAATATGCAGGGTCCGGCAATAGTGTTACTTTCCATAGTTTCTATAGCTCCTAGAATAAAAGCCTGGCCATATGAGTAAATATGTTTCGATAGTTTCCGAGATATTTAATAAATAAGTAAAAAATATAATTTTTAGCTTTTTTATTCTTAAAAAAATTATTACAAATACAAGAACTGTTCTGAAATGAAAACTATATTAGGTATTTACTTTAGATGGTCTATACTTACTTTGCTATGGATATTGTAATCTTAAACAGAAGATTCAAAATTCAAAGCAATGTAAATCTAATATGGTAATTTTGTTGTTCCCTTACTGCTCTAACGTTTAACACCATAGCCATTGTTTATGTTTAAAGTAAAACCATTAAATATCAGTTCTTATTAAACTAAACTTATATTTCTATTTAATAAAAATAAATAATTGTAAGGAAGAAATTAGAAAGGTGATTTAGATTTAGATATTTAAACACATTTTTTCTCCAGGACATTCTCAAGATTTTGTAAAATTTGGATGATTAGGTTAGGGAGTAAAATTGAACCCCAAATGGGGTTCAATTTAATCCTTGTTTAATCCCTTGTCCAACAAATCAATTTAATTAGTATGCATAACAAGAAATGTATACTTTAATATTACTTTAGTGTTTTAACATAATCTGAACATTTTTTTAAATAATAAATAAACACGTAACTTCTTCCTGTATGTTGTAAGACTCTTTTTCCAGTCAGGAGATAGGTAAAAATGTTGCAATCAGATGTTTCTACTGTAATATAATAATAACATAACAGATGAATACAGTGCGTGGTTGCCAGACTTGCGATAATGTAAGTTTAATATTTTAAGTTTCGATTTTTCGTCAGCTCATACGTCCACTATGTTAATAGATTTTTTATACAGTATGATCGAAAAAAAAAATGGCATCGGCGATGGCTATGAATTGAAGATTGCTGTCATTTTATATGTAAAATTATATGGGGAATGTGTCAACGATCATCATTTCCAAGCCAACTGCACGCCGTTTTTTAACAAATCGCTAGTGCCTTGAAAATTAGCAAAACGGACACAATCGTCAATGACGTCTGCGCCCTCGCGCGTTCGGCTTGCGGCTTGACACTCATCTGTTGATATAGTTACGGATTCCGTGGGTCCACTAATTTAAACTCACGATAAAATACTTAACGAATTTATTTTTTCTCACTGTATACACACAATTTATACTGATTATAAAACACAATTTATGCAACTACTATTACTCTAACTTTTCTGGCACCTTCGCCGATTAATTCACAATTTAAAACGCGGTATTATCAAACTTCAAACTGTCCCAACTGCCGATAGCGCGCTTTTTATATAGCTGTGGATCTTCCGGAAAATTCTATTCTAGAATTCTGTAGAATTTCTTTTTCTTTCTGGTGAATTCGCCAGGTTTCTCAATACATGTTGCGGTTTTAGTTCCTCGCTTCTCCGACAGATGGCGCCACATACACCTTAACAATATTATGATATCTAAACATATTATTATCGTCATCATCATTATCATCATTTTCAGCTTATTCAACCGTTTCCAATTATGGGTGTAGCCTCCCTCACTTACTCTCTTTGTAGTTGGCATGGTCCCATCTCAGGTTTGGTCTTCTTCTAGGTCCCTTAATTCCTCGTGGGTACCATGCTGTAATTTTTGTAGTCCATCTATTGTATGTTCTTCTTGCCCATTGCCATTTGAGTATTTGAGGGATTTTGCTCTGTGGATGACATGTTACCTGGGTTTTTTGTTGTATCCGCTCTATTCTTTTACGGTCCCTTTTGGTTATTCCCAGCATATTTCGTTCCATTGAGCGTTGTGCGCCCTGCAGTTTCCTTATATGATGTGTTTTAGGTGTCCAAGTTTCGCATGCATTGGTAGGATACATTGGTCGAATGTTTTCTTCTTTAGATAGAGTGGCATTCTAGATATGAATATGCTTGAGTTTATGAATATGCCCTCGCATATTATTATGCTGAGATATGAATATGCCCTCGCGGCCTCAGTGGAGGGTCCCCTATGGGACCCACTCTTAGTCAAATACAATACAAATGCTTGAGTTTCTTCCATAAGTACTCCATGCTAACACAATTCTTCTGTTGATTTCTGGTAGTATAGAGATTCCGAGCTGTGTATTAGTTGCCCAACTAATACATATATTAATATAAAGTGTAATATTATAGCACCTAGAGTGGCAATATTTGTACTTAAGTACCTATTACATATGAGTAAAGATAATCGTTTAACTGGCAAAGTTTAACCGCACCGTGTGTTATTTTATTGCTCTCTTGGTATTTTGGACAATGCACACAATATCTTTATAAATTATAGTAAAATGTAAACTGGTAGTAGAAAACAAAATTATAGGGCAAGTATCGCAGCTTAGATACCTACGAATGGATATGTCTTACTACCACGATCCAGGAAAGGATCTGAGAGGCCAAATAAACAGCGACGGCCATGTCAGGATTCCTGAGGTAAATAGTATAACAAACCCCTTCATGCGAACAGTTATAGAATCAAAAATGTATAAGACCTGCTTCAGACCAATAATGACGTAGCGACGTAGGGCATAGAAATTCGAGGGGAAACAAACTAAACCAAAAACATGTTAAGGATTGCTGAAATGAGGAACCTAAGAATCATAATGGGGAAATCTAGAAGAGACAAAATTAGGAACACAGATATCAGACAACAATGTGGAATACAGGGCGTAATAAGATGGAGTAGACAGTGACGTAAAAAGCTTGGAAGGAAACAGATTTGGAAGGGAAACCGGTGGGTAAGAGACAGCTTGGAATACCTCAAAAAATGATCTCAAATATATAGAAGAAGAAGAAGCTAATGTACTCTGTTACACAACAATAGTTTCTTGTATTTCTTGCGGACGTTTTAAACCAGGTATGCTGTATCTAAAGAAAATCCTCTATATACTTAGGACTTTTTTGTTGCTGCCTTTGGCAACGCCGATTGTTACGCGATGCAAATATATCCTCTCTGCCACAGGCCGCAGTATTCTTGGCCGTCCAAAACAGCTGACAATCGCGGGCTTTCGTCAGCTCAGGTCGCGAGTCGTGAACCGCGGTGGAACGAACGGCCAACAGCCAGTCTGTATTCAAGTCTATCGATGCAACATTGTGCCTTTTCGGTATTTACCTACTCCATGTTCACATCAAATAACTTGATCTTACAGCCGTTTTATTCCTGCGTTACGTTTCAATATATTCGGTCGTAATTCATTAAACGCCCGCATCTTAGTAATCGTTTGTTTACAAAACAAAACACTCGCGCCTACGCGATTTTTTCCTATAGCGTTCGTACAAGGTGGCCATGGATGGTCTGAGATTCGCTATACAGTAAGTACGTTTTCAATTTTCACGTACATTTTTTATTTTTCTTTTCTCGCGAATTAACACAATGTTGTTATTGCGTCAGTTTTAAGTTAACTTTTTTATATAAAATCGATAATAACGGATCATTTCCTAGTTTGATTGTTTACTAAATATAATCAAGGCCGAATCTTAATGTTGTATTATATTATATAAACTACGAGAAAAACATTCTTTAAATATTTAGATTATAAGGTTTTTCTTTGCGTAAAATTAGAATTTTTATTGAAAGTTTTCTATTATAAATAATGTAAGTCGGGCAGTTGTTGGAAAATACGATTTACAATTTTATTTAGGATAACAAGCTTTTATCGTAATTTTGTTCTATCGTAATTTCTTTCGAAGCCTATCGTAATTTCTTTCTAATGAATTACTAATTATAAAAAAAATAAGAAAATAGACTACCAATTATCACTCCTATCAAGAGCGTGAAAAGCCACCCTCCGTACAGCGACCATTTCCAACGAAAGTGTATGTACATCCCCTTTTGCTTAAACAAGGAAATACCAACTCTCGATAAAATTCAGAAAGTTGTAAATGAAGACGAAAACTTGCCGGTCATGGGAAGAAAAAACTTTAAAGGAAATGAACTTCTCGCGAGAAAAGTACAACCCGAAGTCTGCACTCATTGACAGAGAAGACATCATTTTTTGGAGAAGGCAATATGTAAGGGACATTCGTAAATATCGCAGGGAGAGAAAATCTATATCTTTTACCTAGACGAAACATGGCTGAATGAAGCACATTCTTTAGAGCAAATCTGGCAAGATAATAGCATTGGGAGTTCTCGTGATGAGATTTTAGGAGGATTATCTAGTGTTTGGTAAATCGACCAAGAATTGTTACGAATGACGGCTGATGTTTTTGAAGATTACTTTTCCCAAATGATAACATTACTTCCAGAAAACTCTGGCATTGTTATTTACGACGCTAATTATCATTCGAGATTAGTCGAAAAATTGCCAACCCCTTCTTGGAGAGGTATAAGAAGCATCAGCTTCAACTCTTGGACTGAGTTAGTTCGCATCAAAGATACCATAGCACTAGTGTCGATTCAAGTCCGCTAACATTCGAATTCTCTCTCCATTTACCTTTCCATCGACCACCAAACTATTAACGGAACTTTGATAAACTACTTATGAAGAAAATTCTGGGGGCTCTGTTTTCCATAGTCAATAATAGTATTAACTGATAGTTTTCTTGGTGCCTAACATTCTCTGGATAACCATTAATAGGTACAAAACCTTTCTCCGGCACTACAAAAGCAATTTCAAGAATGGGCGAAGTGGATGGCCAACAGATCTCTAGAATAGTGGACAAATTCAAAAACGACTATGTAGTCGCCTATCTCTTGTGAATACTTGACGTTCATAGTAGAATATTCACCAAAATTTACGATAGATCTGATAAGCAGACAGGAAGACTGTCAAAGCTGTAGAGTTGAAAGACTGTCAAAGTTGTTTTGTCAATTTGAAGAAGCGATAGAACACATTTTATGTTAGCGTGACAGTCTAGCAAATATTCGGTTCTTTGTACTAGGCAATTATATGCTATTGACAAACAGCTAAATGGAAGTCGCCATGTTATTAGACTTTTTGAAAAGAATAGAATTGGAGACTGTAACTTGAAGATCAAAGGAGGACCATAATATATTAGCAAACGAGAATGCATTTGGACGCAACAATTTCATTTGATTTAGTGATTTCTGTCACAACTATAGCACCTAGTGTTCTCAGATCTTCCGGTGTTGCTGACTTACTTCTTCGTTAGTAGCTCCCATAATTTATGAAATCTCTTAAACATATCCTCTAACAGTATGGGAGTACTTTCTGGCTGTTCCTTAGCCCTCACAGATCTGATATTTGGTTTATGACACGCTTCTAAGCCCTCTAAAAATTTTCTCTTGGTTCTCTAGAAAGCTTCTGAAGTTAATTTCTATTCTATATTATTCTCGTTCTCTACGTTATCATTCTTGTTCTTCTTTTTTCTCTTTTCGCAATCTTTCTTATTCTTCTGCTTTCTCGTTTCACATATTTTCCATGAAATTTTATAACACTCCAATTCTTTCATTTTCTTCACTGGTTGTTTTGTCAGTACTATAAAAATTCTCTGTCCGATTTAAAATCTTAAATCCACTTAATTTCTCTTCCCAAATTTTTAAAATCCCGTTGAATCCCACTTCTGACACCAATTGTAACGGATTCCGTGAATCGTCAATTTAAACATTTCTCGATAACATATTTATTATCTATATTAACTAACATATTTATTATTTATATATATATTTTTATTACAGAAAAATGTTTATAGTTTGGTTACAGCAGAAATCTCTTTTTGGTTTGGATTTGGCGTTTCTTATTTCATCGTGCGATGATTTTAGTGGCGAAAAATAAATTAATTGGGAGAAAAGTACTTTTAAAAAGTATTTAACACTATATTTTTCCTGTTTATTCGTTTTTTATCTGTATACTTTTATCTTGATTGTAATTGTAACTTACATCATTTATTAGCCTCGTTATAATTTCATACGTAATTCCACGAAATTGATTGATACTCTAACCTTCGCTTGATTCGTTATTCGTTCCCATAACAACGAAGCGCTTTCTTTTCCCTGGTCATCGTTGACCATTTTTGTACTAAGGTGACATTCTATTCCTTAAAATGGTCCGATTATTTCCTGAAAGGAAAAATGCGAGCCCGTTTTGTTTATAAGAAATAAACTTTGTAATCGAGGATCTTTTGTTAAGTGGAACATCTGGCAATACGGAACTAATTTTTTTTAATTTGAATGTAACTCAGAAGTGATGCAGATGTTTGCAATTCTTGGATTTTTGTTTAAAAAATATCAGGTGCTGTTCCTATGAGTAAAATAATGTCTCCTGTTAGATTATCTTAATGAATAAATGCCCTTTTTATTTTTATTATACACAATAAGTGCAAATATTTTTATGGTTGGTAGATTTCGATAAAAGAAACATGTTTTCTCTTTACTGTTTTTCTAATATATTCAAAATAACCGAGTTTTTTTTTATAATTTATTATAAAATTTTACTTTAAAAATTTTAAAAATAAAAAAAATTATGTAAATAAAAATTATTTAAAATATATAAATACATAAAAATGATTTGAATGTTTTCTGGATTTTCTATCTTGTAAATTTAATCTACTAATTATGTTGCCATATTATGAAGATCAATTTTTTTGCGAGAAAAAAAAATATAGACCTGTTTCTGGTGTATAGAAATATACCACCCCTAAAGATATTTGTATTTATTAAGGCTAACCTTGTATATTATGTATACCGGGTGCGTCTCGAAAGTGGCTCACCCCCATAATTTTTATTTTTTCAGATAAAAAATTGAGATTTGGTATGTTAATATATGACATAAATTAGGATTGATTGATGTATTCAATTGTTTTCTGTCACTTCCTGTTTCGCCGGAAATGATTACAACTTTTGATTTTTAAATGGCACCCTCGGTTTTTTGTTGCTCTATTTGATAGAAAATGATACTCTGAATAGAATGACATATCATATGTCAACTTTGGCATTTTCGCATATGGTTTATTTGAAATTATAACATGCGGTTCACAACGATAATTTGACTCGAAATACCAGGTCTGTGGTTTGGTGTGGTATCAAATTATTCGTAAAAAAATGCTTTGAAATATGCTAATGAGCCACCCTCGTTCCATTTGAAAAAATTGAGATGTGATTAAAAATACGATTTGGGCATCTTTTAACCAGCCAGGACAACACATGAATAACATTAGACGATCAAATCTATTTTTCCAAGGCTCCTTAATTAAAAATTAGTGTTTTTAACATAGCCATGGCACTCTAGATTGAAATTTAAAATTCAATTTTGTTTTAAACAAAAATGTCAAAAGTTGACATATGATATGTCATTCTATTCAGAATGTAATTTTCTATCGAATGAAGTAAAAAATACCGGGGGTACCATTTAAAAATCAAAAGTTGTAGTCATTTCCTGCGAAATAGGAAGTGACAGAAAACTAATGAATATGTCAATCAATCCTAATTTATGTCATATACTAACATAACATACCAAATCTCGTTTTTTTTTATCTGAAAAAATAAAAAAGTTATAGGGGTGAGCCACTTTTGAGACGCACCCGGTATAGAGAAATAATTTTTCCAACCATGGAATAAAGATGCTACACATTAATAAATTACATATACATTTTATTGTTTGTAATTTATTAATATGTTTAATAAAGTTTTATTTTTTTTAAATAATTGATTATAATTAACAAACATGTTTCAAATTATATAAATATTTATATATTTTAAATAAATAAAATGGTTGCTTAAAAATATTTTTCATAACAAATTTTTGGATCAAATTAATCATATCCAAACTTAATAAATTAATCAAACCAAACCAAACTAATCAGTTTCATTTGAAGCATTATTAGGAACACTAAAAATGACGACGGCGGCGGCTACTAGATTTTTCTGAAAATTTTCTAGTAAGTTAGTAAAATGTAAGTGTAAAATTAGTTAACAAGAATAATTTGTGGGTCTATTTCAACACTTTTCGTAGTTTTCGTTGATTTTAAAAAAGTGAAATAATACGCTGATAGTGTATAAGTAAGTTATCATTTTCAATATAAGTTTACATGTGAAATGTCATCAATCCCCATTTTTTAGGTAACTTGACGCCTTTTTTTTTCGATTGTGAGGTACTTTTAAATCTGTTTTATTTATCTGACGAAAACCGAATATAACCTACCTACCATTAGACATCAACAATTTAGAATGCATTGTTTGAATTTGAACTCTTTCTAGCAAGTGAATGGCCTTGTAAAAACGGATTTCTTACAAAAAGTATCTTTTTAAATGTGGCTAGATTCTTCAGTCCGTTAGTCGTTTGTAATGCTTGTGGATGAATCATTCTTCATTCAAACTGCTTGTGGTTATGAAGGTGCAGGAGTCGCCAGCT